AGGAGGAGGGGAGGAGGGGGTCAGGAGGAGGAGGAAAGAAGACCCTGCATAAAAGAAAGAGGAGCGGAGAGGAGGAGAGGAGGAGGAGGAGGGAGGAGGAAAGGAGGAGGTGAGGGGGAGGAGGCGGAGGCGGAGGCGGAAGGCGGAGGAGGAGGAAGGAGGATGGAGGGGAGGGGGCTGCGGAGGAGAGAGGAGGAGGAGGCGGAGCGAGGCGGAGGAGGATGAGGAGGAGGAGGAGGAGGAGGAGGAGGAGGAGGAGGAGGCGGAGGAGGAGGAGGAGGCGGATGAGGATGAGGAGGAGGAGGAGGAGGAGGAGGAGGAGGATGAGGAGGAGGAGGAGGAGGAGGAGGAGGAGGAGGAGGAGGAATAATAATAATCATAATAAGAAGACGAATAATACGAATAACAAGAATAATACTAATAATAACAAGAATAATAATAAGAATAAGAAGAACAATAAGAATAATACTATCAATAATATTAAAAAGAAAACTAAGAAGAATAATAATAAGAAGACTAATACGAATACTAATAAGACTAATAAGGCTAATAAGAATAAACATAAGAATACCAAGAATAATAAGAATAATAATAATGATAAAACTAATAATACGAAGAATGAGAAGAATACGAAGACACATAAAAAATAATAAAGAAGAATAATAATAAGACGAATAAGAATACTAAGAATAATAATAATAAATAATAATAATACTAATAATAATAATACTAATAATACTAATAACAACAATACTAATAATACTATTACTATTAATAATACTAATAATAATAATCATAATCATAATAATATTAATACTCATAATAATAATACTAATCATAATAATAATACTAATACTTAATAATCATAATACTAATAAGAATAATACGAATACTACTAATAATAATAATCATAATAATACTAATAATAAGAATACTAATAATAATAATAGTAATAATACTAATATTAATAATAATCATGCTACTACTAACAATAATAATAATACTAATCATAATAATATTAATAATAATAATAATAAGAATAAGAACACTAAGAAGACTAAGATCAATAATAAGAAGAATAATAAGAATAATAATAATAAGAAGAAGAATAATCATAATAAGAATAATACGAAGAATAATAAGACGAATACTACGAATAAGAAGAATACTATTAAGAATAAGAAGAAGAAACATAATAATAATAATAATAATAATAATAATAAGAAGAAGAAGAAGAAGAAGAATAAGAAGAAGACGAATAAGAGGAGGGGGAGGAGGAG